GCCCGACGTTCACGTTGAAATAGTAAGTTCGTTATCTTCTGGGCAGAGTAGTCATTCGATTTTCTGCGGAGAATATTTCAAAGCCGTGTAATCGCGGCTCCTGCATAATTAATTCCGTCGACCGATGTTATTCTTTGAGAAAAATTGTAAAAAGGAATCAAATTTTTCGAATTTTTAATCGGAATTTATTCTGCTTTTCTCTCGCACGTAAAATAGCACATCGTTCGTCTAAACAATTGAGGCGTTAATTACACGTCACAATAAATGTTTTGGTGTTTTGTTATATTTATCGATTGCTAATAACGCCAAGTCGATTGATTTTCCTCGCATTTGCGGCGCAAATGTCATTGCTCTTTTAAACAGCCATCTACAGTTCGTCCGCGTCAATGAGTCGCCGCGATCCACTTTATGAAAAAAATACCCCGCTCACACGTCGCGTCACGCATGAGCGTAACACGAGGAGCACTCTTGGCGACTTGTTACTAGCTTTCTGCCGGCACTCGACACCGGGATTGTAGCCGACATGCAAACAGCCGTAAATAAAAGCGACTCCGCCGCCGGCTAACACGGCGCGCGCACGCCCGCGCACGAAAGGGGACACTTTCATTTCGTACATGAGTCAACGAAATAAAGATTCTACCCCGTTCGGAGATGTATTTGCGCGGGGACCAAGTGCTCGTCGCGCGGCGAACGGAAAGCGGCCGGAGAATGAGCTCGTTTTACGAGTGTACATAAATCCATCGCTGTTTATTTAACACGCCTGGCAGTTTTGTTTGGACGGGATCGGACAATTTCCTGCGTTTGGACACGCGGACTATGCCTTATTTACCGGATCGAAGAGGGTGACGCGTGCGACGAAGTTAATACGACACCGGAGGTTACGTTACGCTTTACTTCGACGCGTCCGTCGAGATCGCACGCACAAAGTTCGAACAGCTTGCGCGATATTGGCTTAAAATTATAATTACGGTGGTTCGCTCGCGGTGTTTTGATACATTCGCATTTCCGATCGTCCGGCATTGGTTTACCGCGCCAACGGCGACCACAAATCTACAAAACGTGCTTTTATTCCTGTACCGCGGAAACCGATTTGGCAGCGCCGCTGATTCCTCGTCCTCTCCTCAGCTGGCAGCCTTCCACGATCGACATACAAATAAGGCGGAATGTTATCCTGTTTAACTATCTCTTAATAGGATTTCTTTGACGTGAACCGATTAACTCGGCCGACCTGAATCGGAACGTAGAATCAATAGAAATAAAATCAGATAATTGGATAATGATATAGAAAGCAAGAAGAACCAAAGCGCACGGTTGTCGGAACGCAAGAACTAAACACACCAAAGAAAACGTTTTAATTTCGAGCTCTCCTCAGTTGGAAAAGGTTTAGATTGACTAATTAAATAATGATGTAGAAGCCGAAAAGAACTAAAAGTGAGGTTGTCGGAACGCAACAACAGTAAACTTTTATTAATCAGAACAAAGGACCTTTTTTTTTAACTTGAGAAGAGGCAAAGAAGAGAACGAAGAGTAAAATGTTAAAAACTCGAATAAATAGCATAATAAACACTGCACTTGCTGACCGCAGCACCGACCGATATTACATGTCAGAGTAAACTCGGTTTAAATAATTAAATTAGCACCGTAATGTATCGACTATCTATTCAGGAACTCAATTGATTGATGTATGATAATGATTGAACGTTGATGCCAAAAATACGATATAAATACACGATATTTATTACGAAAATACGAAGGTATTAAATTTCCAACAAAACGCCATCTTTATTTTCTTCTATTTTTCTTGAGGATTTTTCGAGCAAAAAATATTAAGAGAAGAAAGATAAGAACCACAGCGCGGATGTCAGAATGCAAAAAATTTCTTTATTATAAAAAAAAATAGATAATGTAATGAAACATTGCGGTCCAAATTTCGAGACTCTGAAGAGAATCAGAATTTGTACCAAAACATTTCATTATTTTGTATTTTTATTTTTTTGATAATAAAGAATTTTTTGCGTTCTTACGGCCTTTCTTTTGTTAATATTTTTGCAGAACCGTGCGTCTATTTTCTGAGCGAAATCTTTCTCCGTCGACCTTTCGCACGGCAAAATGTCATCCGTGCGTTTTAAGATACCTCGGCCTTAGGACACAGAGAGGTGTTCTAGGTGTCGTGTCGTTCGTCGCGCATCCACAAGCGACGTCGCGTCGCTCCGGGGCGCGGTCGCCGCAACAGACGCGAGCATGAAATTCAATCAAAATCAAAGGGATAAGGTGTACCGGAGCGTGAAAGCAAACGCGCCCGGGTGACTTGGACGGATTCCTTGCGGCCGGAAAATGTTTCGCGGCGCGATGGATCGATCGGGCGACCTTATTATCGGGAGGAGAATTTCGGCTCGGTCCCTCCGGGACGAATCCTGGGGGTTGTTGCCTCACGTTGCTGCTTATCGGTCGTAGCGACCGCAGGTTTATCACATCCGTAGGCGATCATAAGTGTCTTACGCGAGCGCATGAATCATTATAGCCAGGCGGAATCGCGATTACGGATAGCGCAGTTATTCCGCCCGACAGTTACTTTTTCCGATCGATCTCGGGAGAACTTGTGCAATCTCTCTTACGAGATCTCTTTGCCGAAAGTATCAGAAGCGCTGGCGAAATATTTAAAGAGGATGATCCGGAGAGACGCATCTCAGTCCGTTGGACTGAGCGAGCTTTCATGGAAATCCACACGCCGAGTAATCCGCCGAGTGCAAGTAGAGAGACGAAAGTATGAAAGGATTTTCGCGGGGCTATTTCGAGGATAACGATATCACTTGCGATTCGGTGACGCGACATAATGCGATGTCCAACTTGTCTTAACATCCGACATTCTCTGCTTCCGATAAGATAACAGGTCCTTATCCCACTTATACGAAGTATCGTCCCCGCGAGATATTAGCGGGATATATTCGGCAAAGCAGAATCGTACAACGGTACTAATTGTCCGCGTGCGAAGTCAGCGTCGGTCTGTATATCTCTCGTTGCTGATAAATCTGGGTATCTCGCTACTAATCGCAGGGAGTGTTGTTAATATTTTCCAGCTTGCGCGAGGGACGACTGATTGTGGAACGAAATAATATCTCGAATTAGGGAGTCCCTCTTGGCTCATTTACGGTTTAGAACCTTTCGAGAGACTGCACGCGTTAGTCACGCACGACAGACCCTCTTTAAGGCTCGCGGACGAGCGTTGCTTCTACGTGCCCAGGCAAGTCCCAAAGCTCTCGGTCAGGGCTTAATGCGCCTAATGGAACCTCCTGAGTGCCGTTACCAATTTTGCCGCGACTCTCACGATTTAGCGGCGGACCAGCCAACCGAGACATTATCAAAATTTATTGGCCGGTCAGTCGTTCGCAAACAGTCGCCGCCGTCGCAGCCGGAATGTTTTATGATCTTCTTTTGTGCGCATGCATACTTAATTCGTCCGCCAGAGATATTTTGCTGTTGCGCAGAGATGTGGAAATTCCGTTCGAATCCACTGCCCGATAGAAGAGATGTAATAATCGTTGCGAATATTACAGTTTTCCTTCGCGGAGAGGATAAATTTTCAGAAAAAACATTTTTATTTTCGTGTGCAGTATATTTTACAGGCTTAAACTCGGATTTTTAGAGCACACTTTTGCCTAGCTTAAATAGTTACCATAAAATGCGCGTGACCTGCGCGATGTATTAATTATGATGTATATACGCGCGCAAACATGTAACGCTCTGCGTGTGTACTTAACGCGAACACGCAAATATTGTCCCGTAACTTTAACCGGTCGTGATTAAGTGGTATGTGGCGAAAATATTTCAGTCGGTATTACGCGGTGAGAAGAACAGCTCCGCTCGAAGAGATGCAAATGCCGCGCGATTAATTCTTAGCGACGGAAACATTTCAAGCTGCTCAACATTCTTGTATGACAGCAGGTGGTTAAGTGCGCCTACCGTCCTATCAGTGCCCTAATCGGAACTGTTCGGCTTCCTGGAGTTCCAGGCGAGGTACCTAATTAGGGACGACCTTCGCCGACGCCTATACGGCCATTTATCACGCACCTCTTCACCGCTATTACGCCGTGGCGAAATTCGCGAGAGAGGCTGATTGGATCTTAGATAGCCATTCGGAATTTCTGCTATTCATATTGTCATCAGTTCCCGAGATTGTGTGAAATCGGAAAGAGCATGATTAACCATTCAAAGACACGCTATATTCTCGCAGAAAAAAAGAGAAAAATTTCCCCCTTTTTATCAAATGATTCATAAAGTATCTTAATCTTTCATTAATTTAATGAACAAAGAGAATTTTTAAGTAATTAAAAAAAATCTCTTTTGTAACATTTTTCTAAGAATTATATTAATAAAATGGCTATTTTGTCTTATATAATGATTTTTTTATAATAAACTGTAATTTTGATTCATATATCAATTTAAAAAAAAAATGAAAACGAGAGTTTATTACGCGAGATACAAATCACATAAATCATGGCGCACTATGCATTTACTTCAAATTGCTGTTCGGAAGAATTAATGACGGAAAGAATGTAGACTGTAATAATAACGGCAGGAGCAACAACAATAATAATCTCGAGCAACTGTGCACGCAATAAACATGACGAAGAAAGACGGAAGTCTCAGCCGGCGTTGAAAATTTCATCTCGCGGAAACTTGGTCTCGCGGCGACGAAGCGGAAACTTATTCGAAGGTGTTGCCTTCCGAGATATTAGAATATATCCCGGCAAGTAGGATCATCATTAATTATCCGTGCGTAAAGTCAACGTTGGCCAGAGTCGCGCGCGTCAGTAATAAATCTAGGTCTCGCTAATCGCGCGATATTGCAAACGTCGTCTGCGCGCACCATTCGTCGCGCGTAAACTTCGCGCTTAAGCCCGGAGTATTTCCGAAGTGTCAGTTTCTGTAGCTGCTGTTGCCGCTGCTACCGCTGCTGCGCTGGGATAGGAATAATGACGGATCGAGAGGATCGAACTCACCGCATCGTTGTGATTCCAGAAAATGTAGGCGGGCGGCTCTGGGCTCTGCAGGACGACGCACGTGAGATTGATGGTGCTACCTCGATTGATGAACAGATCCGGCGCACCCAGAATCTCCGTTTTTGGCTCTGAAAAGTAAAAATGCGACTCTTTTATGCGAACAATTTTTTACGCTACGCTACGGGATTACGCGCGCGCGCGCGCATAACCTTTTAGGAATAGAACGTACATGTGTGACTTATTATCGAGACCATTACGCCCCGACGAAGGAGAGCAGTTAGGTGCAGTGATAAGTTACAGTCGTGTAATTAAATATTACATTACACCCGAGTAAGAGGCAGAGATATTTCGTGTTTTTCCTTCTCGTACACGTCGTTTTCCCCCTTCTTTGCAGCAAACGAGGGCGCGTAACTCCCGCCTGGATTAAATTCAAGGATCCGAGCACGAAATTACATCTGCGTTTAGAATTCTTATTGCAAATGTCGGATATGTTATGATTTCTAAACGAACCCCGGTCGAATCCCGTGGCATTCTCCGAGAGTGTATCGCTGGATGAAGACGCGCGCTCCGGTCTTTCTTCCGCATTAAACTTCAGAATACGTGGAATCGCGTATCGCGCGTCTCATGACTTTATGTGCGCTTTATGTAAATAACGGATATTTGTCACGTCGTGCTTCGGGACGAAAGTTTGCTACGCCGACGCAGAGAGAGAGAGAAAGAGAGAGAGAGAGAGAGAGAGAGAGAGAGAGAGAGAGAGAGAGAGAGAGAGAGAGAGAGAGAGAGACAGAGAGAGAGAGAGAAAACTTAGCCTCTCGCCGGATTAAATCTAAAGATTTAAAGATGAGATTCCGCCGCGCGACCTAGAATTTTACGTTTCTTTCATGTAAATGTCTCCGCCTCGGCGCGTCGTGTTTTTGAAATTCTTTAGCCACGTGTTAGCTTAGAAAAAAGTACAATGGTACTGGCAGATTAGAGGGTGGGCTCTGCCGTTTGATGCAAAATGTTGTGATACTAAATCTTATTATTCATATCGCCGTGAAGAATCCACGTACGTGTTTATAAAATGAGAGAGTAATATTCATTACTGTTGGCTATGGAAACAACAAAGCTAATCCTCTCTATATCTTTTTATCTTGAATATTCCGCGGGAGAAAAACTCGCTTTACCCGCCATGAACTCCGCGTTTGTACACGGAAATAATTTTTTTGATAGAGTCCGTAGTTTATTAAATACTTTTTTTTCCATTACGACCTGAAAATCACAGTTGTACTATTAATTTATATTAGAATAAAAAGAAAGAGATTTAAATTTTGTTACAATTTTAAATGAAAATATATATTATATTAAAGGAATATATATTTTTTCGAAAACATTTTGAATAACGTGTGCTGTTGGAAAGAAATTGGCCGCTTTTTTCCGCACACAGTGAAGTCCACAAATTTGGAGATGGGAGCGACGAGACTGCGTCGCGGTGGCTTAAAACGGACGACCGTTCTTCGACTGGGGAATCGAACAGAACGAGGTCGTTATGGGAAGCTGAATCGAGGACTCGCATCTGTTGCGAGAATTATGCAGAATTACATGCGGCAATCCCCGCAGGCGGGAATTATTCCCGCAAGCCTCCTCCTCCAACGCCCTCGGTCATCCGCGCCGCCCTTTCATACCGCCACCCGATAATAATCCCGTCGCGGGGGGTGAATCGCGCCGGGCGGCGCGCGCGTCAGGAATTTATTTATAATGCCGAAAAATGCCGGCTACGTCGACGCGCTTCGATATTTATAGCCTGGCGTCCGGTCGACCGCACGGACGGACGGACGGACGGACGGACGGACGGACGTACGGACCGGATGGTCCGTTTTGCGTCCTTTTGTGATGCCGAAGAGTGATGCGGTTGACCTGGCCTCTGTGCGCGCCTTCGAAAGAGCACTTTGAGGCGCTTCATACAGAGAGTATCCGGTATCTGTTACTGCGGCGGCGAACCCGCTCCTGTTACGCGTACGTGTGTGTGTGTGTGTGTGTGTGTGTGTGAGTGAGTGAGTGTGTGTGTGAGTGAGTGTGTGTGTGTGTGTGCGCGCGCGCGCGTATTATGGGAGAGAAATAGGAAGAGAGAGGTCAGCTGGTAGATCGATGCGAATATTTTCCGGGCGGCTTCCTCCTCGAGGATTGACCGAAATAACCGGGTAGCGTGCTTTACGGCTTTTGTGCATCGGATGATACCCGGAGACGACGGTTAACCCTCCCGGGTGGTTAACAGCGCCGTGGCATTTCCTCCGTCTCCACGTCCGCGCGCTCTCTCTCTCTCTCTCTTTCCTCTGGTCCCACCGCGGAACTTTTTCTTCCGGATTTCTCGCCGAATCCGGATTTGGATTTTAAAACCTTCCGACGTTTATTTTTTCAGTCCATGGTCCTTCGTCATATCTCGCGCTCGTCTTTTCTCTCTTTCTACGCTTACTCCATTTTTCCATCGCTAAGCTTGTTTGTCGCATATACTTTGCCTTTTCTTTCCTTAAAACTATTAAGCGTTGAGACGCGTTGTGTATAGCGCTGCATAGCAAGTGCTTCTTTCGCGGGCACGAGTTATTTTAATCAAATTTACCTCTTTTAATTCTTATTACTTTTTTTATTCTATTTCTTACAATTAACAATTATATTGTTATTTTTTTTCTTAAATGAACAGTATTATATTTATTTTGTTCTTTGATTTTCAGCACGTACAGAGGAAGGTTGCTGTTCATGAAACAACACCTTTATCTTCACTTGCACCTCGTTTCGCAGTAAGTAAATTCAACAATTTATCTCTGTGTGTCCATGTTTCTCCATTTTTTTTTTGTTGCTCTTTTCTCCACGATATCGCCTATCGGGGCGTAGTAAAAGCAGCGCAGTGGCGCCTATGAGCCGATCGATAGCACGGCGAGTATACGCGAAACGTTTTAACATCGGTTAACCGCGAATGAAAGCCGACCTCGTCAGACAGCGAACCTTCGGAGCGAAATCAGGGCTCGTCAGGCCCTTCATCGATGAGTTTCCGTAACTCTCAATTCGCTCCGATGCTCATTGCGGCCTCGGCCATGTTTTAAATAAACACCCCGCAAAAATTAATGACGTGAGCACCGCATTTCTTTAATCAGCCGTGAGCGTCAGCTATATTTCACACAATAGTTTGATGAAAACATCAACGGGAAATTCCTGTCCTGTCGTCTCCAAGCACTTTGCGTCCCTGTTGAGTGAGTTTTAAAGCACTCGTTAACGTTCGTGGTCGTAAACCGTGTTTTATTGTCCATCATTAATCGACGCAGTCTTTCAGCACAGATGATCGCCATAAACAACGATTAAATCGCCAAGTGTGATTTGTGATTGTGCAATTTTTATTGAGTTTTCAAGTTTTATTTCTGGCGAATACAAGAATATATCTCCAGGCTCCAGTCTCCGGGTTGTGGAGTGTCCTTCGATAATAATTCGATGTGTAACTTTGCGAAAAAGAGTAGCACGAGACAATGGCGCGCGTTACGCTCTCATTTGAAACTTTATTAAAGAAGTTTGTCACGCGATTTCGCGACACGGGTGCCTGGATGAATAAAAGATGTCGATAGACGACGGGAGTAAAATGTAAACGAGGATAAGTTGGACGTCTCCAGCGCGAAGAGCATCGTCTTGAGAAATCGATTTCGTCTTTGCGTTTCGGAGTCGGCGCGTTTTGGATTTGGGTTAATGTAATAGCAGCTCGTAGCTCTGATGAATAATCGAACAGAATTCTAAAGAAAAACCATAATATATTAGAAAAAAAAATTCTTTCTTTTTTACTTTGAAAATTCAAAATTATGGGAAATATAAAAATCAGGACAATTAGCTTAATTGTGTGAAAGAAGCAGGAAATTTTCTCAGTAGTTTTATTTTCCATGAAACGTGTTTTTCATCTTTTCAAGAAGAAAAAAAAATATATTTGATCCTCTTATATATATTTGAGAGTAATATCTGTGAGACGAGTTGGACGAAATATAAAAATTATTCTCATAATTAACTCTGCAAAATCGTGCGAGAGAAACAGCAAATCTTCCTTACTTTTCTCCAAGAAATATTGTATATTTTTCATTCTTCTTTAAGAAATATATGATCTTTTGCATGTGAAAGTATACTTCCGTGACGCGTTTCGTGAACGCGAGTAAGACCTTCATTCATTTCATCCTCTCGATTAACCTGTTAGAATCGATCGATCGATCGATCGATCGAACGAGCGAGCGAGCGAGCACATTGATACTCGGCGGTCGTGTGAGAGGTCCGTGCTCACAGAGCCGATATTTGTCGAGCGCGCAAAATACACTCGCGCGCGCAATGCGCTCCCAACGCTTGACCCAAATAAAGCAACTCGCACAATCGTGCGAGTGTCCATTCCTCTCTACTGCGGTTGCAGCAAGGTGCAAGCTGCATCCGATTCGATGCAGTCAGTTCAGTTTACACTTCGGTCCTGGAAAGTGCGCTATACGTTAACAAATAGCGCACTGTCCGTCACATCGATTCAATCCCGTTTTGTACTCTTCCATCTCTCGTCGCGTTCTTTTTGCCCTTCGGACTAGCTAAGCGAAACTTTGTGCAACGCAAATGCAGCTGAATATGATTTACGCATTCGCGTAATTCTCTTGCACTTTACTTTTCTCTTAGCTGGTCATTGTTAGCTTAATATCGAACAAGCTCGCGAATTTTAACTAAATTGTCTTATGAATAAATTTGTGCGATAAATTTCCGAACTTTATATCGCACCGAAGTCATTCGTCGACTGTTTCTTCGTTCCTAAACTCGCGGAAAGTCTCAGTCTCTTTCAAACAGAATGTTACAGAAATCGGGTGCAGATTGGAGCTCTGGTTCGGACAGACCCTTTGTAAAGGCGATTGAACTGCATCGAACTTAAGGGATGCAGTGTTGCTTCCCGTTTCGCGAATACGGCACAGAGGTCGGACGGGTTGGTCGACCTGCGTCGGACGAGACGCTAAATTGCGTTTAGGCGACCCGATCCCGCGGCAGTGTACGTGCTTGCCCGATACGGCGTTTCGATGCAAATAGGGGGTGATTCCAAGGGCGAATAGGAAAATGCGCGATGGGGCGAAACGAGTGACTACGCGGCGCGGCGTTTGCAATGAATGAAAAGCGCCGTAGGAAACGAAGATCTGTTTCCGACGTTTACGACGAGTGAGCTGAGGTTGATCTGATTTGCGAAATGAATCTTTACGTTCGTCCATTCGCGCGATCCTCTCGTCGACGACTCCCCTCCCCCCCCCCTCACTTCCTCCCATCTCGCTTCTTTTCCCTGGAGAGATACGAGCTTTTCAATCTCCGGAAAAAAACGCGCCTCGAGACGTGTAATTTCGTGATTGTGACTTTGCCTCGCATTCTCGTATTCAAGTTAGAGGAGCAATCGGAAGGATAAGAAATAAATCAATCGGCACTGAAATCGAGACAAATTGTAAAAGAAAGTGGAGAAAAATACATCCAACTGTTGTATTATAATATTGGGTTGTATGATAAATAATTTCGCATTTTTCAAATAAATCTGTTTACTTTTTTGAGCAAAGCGTAGTCTGATTAACACGTAAATTAAATATTTGTTTGTCGAAATTTTAATTAAGTTTCGCCCGTATCGCGGATTTTTTAATCGCGCTGCGTAAAAAAATAATAACACCGACTATTAAAAAATCCGAAATTGCTATAAAAATAATGAATAATTGGATTGAGGGACAATGATTGTTCTTTTTTGGCAGAACATTGCGCTTGATTTAAATACTAAGGGACGCTGTTGGAGCATGTACCAATCTCGAGGCGAATATTGCAGAGAAGCGCGATATAATGTGTCGGACTTATGAGTAAGACCGCTGTAAAGACGCAATTCGCATCACGAATTATGATGCTTGCGCCAGCCGTGCTCGTTGAAAGTAGGTCGCCAAATGTATCCCACAGGGAGTAAATTGATTCGGCGCTCGGGGGAGAAAAACGGTAAATGCAAATCGTCACGTTCTTCTTTTGCCCTGACGGGAAACGCCCCGATCACAGTCCGGCGACCAGCTCGGACCCGCTCTTTCGATAGCTCGAATGTCGCGTTCGTCGAAATCGTGTTTCACTTCGAACGCTATCGTCGAAGAATGGCGTTCGGTATCAAACTTCTTCCTTCGTCCTCGCGTGCCACCGCAATGGAATGGTTATTTCTTGATCGCTCTTTCGAGATCGAATCGACGGATGGCGACATGGGCGTAGGGGCGGAGGTCATATACAGCGAGAATAAGCAAAATGTAGAAGCTCATGAATGCCAACTCACCGGTTTTCCTTCCAATATAGGAAGAAATCAAACAATATTGAAGAAAGAGATATTGCATAACAGAGCGTATAACGTTATAACGGGATTATATAACGTAACTGTTTTCAATTTTGCAACATAATTATTTGACTGTATATATTTATTCTGAAGAATCTTGCAGCTGAAATTTATTTGACGTTATCTAAACGTCACAATAAAAATGGAAACATATGTAATGTTAGTAAATTCTTAGATACAAAATAATGGCAATTGTATCTCTGACAAAACTTAGACTTTCAGCCACGCCACTGGAAGGAAAAAACTTTCGCAAACTCATCGCCAAAGTCGCCGTTGACTTTTCTCCTTTTTCGTTGCCGTCCATGTGAAAAATTCGACCGCCGACCTTGATTGACCTTAAATGTTCTTTTCCTCTATAGATAATTGTCATTACGATAAGCAATAAACAAGACAAAGTTGTAAGAATCAAGGACAGAATAGATAAATGAAATGAATAATTGATAAAAATACTAGAGTTGTCAAGTTTGATATGTATACGTCAGAATACAGAAGGCAAGCGATTATCACGTTATTCGCCGATCGATAGCCCGATTTGTAAACGAATGAACGAATTCGTAGCCAATTCATATATTATTTTTGCGCTCGGCCGAAGTCAAACGGCAATACTCGGATAAATCCTAAATAAAAAATAATTTAAATAAAAATTGTAAAAGCTCCAATGAATTAAATATCATATTGAAACGTGAAGGAGCAAAAAGAGCCGGTTTGCAAAAAGAAAGTATATCGAAATAATAAACAAATGCATGCACGGGAATATGCGTTGAGGAAGTCGGACGTATCTTTCGTAAACGTGCGCGTCTCGTACATATATCGTCTCATAAAATCGCGATCGCGCTGGGCCAGCGTCTTTAGGCGAGGAACGATGAAAATTCTCATGTTTGCGACCGCGATCAATCTCCATGCGGAGGAAGCAATTTTTACGGAGGACGCGCGCGCTGCACTTGCGCGAGGAACGCTTGGATTGGACGGCTTCGAGTCCGAGCGGATCTTACGCTTTTCTCTCGTCGACCATATCGGCCGAGGTCGAGACCCCTAAGAAGGAAGGATATCATCGATAAAAGCAAGTTTTCGCTGGCATCGCTCTCCTCCACCCGGAATGGAATATAAACGGAGGCGGTTTTCCCTCTATTCCTGTTTGCGTTCGCGCAGCATGATCGAAAAGGCTGCCGAGCAACTTGCCGCAAGTTCTCCGCGACAAGCAACTTTTCCTCGTTCGAGAATACCGTTCGCACTGGTTACTTTTTTACTAGCTATCAAGACTAACGGACCATGCTTTTGTCCGCATACACGTCTTTCCTTCTCTTTTCGAGAAGAGCGAGAAAAGCGTAACGATGTTTGTTATAAAAGATTCATCATAAAAGATCAGCTATTCCGTAACAATTTATGATTTGTCATGAAAATTCAAGAAAGCTATAC